CTTTTGTTTTGGTTTCTCTGGTAATTTCGTCGTATTTCAGAATCACTTCTTTTGACGTACCCGAAATTATATCATTGAAAGCACCCCTATTGAGTTTTAGACCATTCTCGTAGTTAAGGGTAAAATCCTTAATTTTCTATGCCCTTCAATGTTTTATAGTAGTAGCTCTTTGGCCACGTCAACATCCATTCAATATTATAATCCCCATCCGCCAATTCAGGTCAGTAATGAATTCGCTCTGACTCATGTTCAATCTCTGTCCGAATTTCCCCCCATAAGGAGTTCAGACAGATCTTCGTAATGGCTCTTCTTCCCGGATTAACCTCAATTTTATTAAGTCCAGCTCTATACCCGTCTGTTCTTTAATGATACAACCGTATGTCTCGTTCGATTCGTAATTGTGTGGACTCGTTTCTAATTTTATTTTCATAAATTCTTTTATATACTCTCGGAATAAAAACATAGATTGTTCAGGGAAATGCCGTACTTCAATAATTTCCGGTATAACGTAACCCTTTTCTAAATCTTTTTTTATTTCCAGTGTTGTCCAACATCCCATGATCGTTGTTTCTTCTTCGGCATGTTCACATTTCTCTGACTGGTGGTGGTGCAGGCACCCAGACATAACGTAAACACTAATTTGTCGGTTTTTATAGGTAATACAGGGTGATATAATTTACGTGGCCGTAAAATTTAGCATTTTTCCAAAGCGAACCATGTGGGATCGTATTCAGACGGCATTCGTATTTTGGTCATCAATATACTGCATTCTCTTGTCGATTACCTTTAGCTTTGCCGCGTTAGTACATCCTCCGAAAAATGATTCTCTCGGATTGAGATGTTCGTCGTCAATATCTACATTTTTGACGGTTTTGTACTCTTTTGATTTGAGTCAGTTGCATCCCCACATCTCCACGACCGAATACCCGGCATCCTTCAATTGTTGACTTCGACGTTGTGTTTTCTTGTACAGATCGTCCATTGTTTATATAGTATAGTGTTACTTCACCGCCGTTTAGGGCGTGACGGACATTGCCGAACTGGTTTAGCCACGTTATCAAACTTTGTATGTCTTTCGTATGCACACACTCGCTATCGTAAGAAAGTGCAAGGTATCAATGTCAGCGATCTCCAAAAACTCCTTTCTAAATTCCAAGTAGCGTTTTCTGAGAATATCCAAATCAGAATCACAATATTCGTGCAGTCTCGTTGAAAATCAAATACGTAGTTTTCATTTATTCGAGACGTGTGTCATTAAAATTGCTTCGTTTTCATGACATCTGGGCCGTATTATTTTGTGGCGGGTAGGTTACCAATATAATTGTGGTTTTCGGAAAGTCGACCGAGGGTCTGGCGATGAAATTTGAATTATCTATAATTTTTAGTTAAACTTGCGGTATTTCCAGCAACATTAGTTTCGTTCCATTGTAAATAGTGTATGGTTTGATAGTGTTTTCCACACAATATTTAAGTATAAAATGTGAGTCATAACTCTTAGCACTATGTGCAACAGCCGTGTATCCCTTGTGCTCTTACTTATTATTAGAGTTCGGATTATATGCAAAATGCATATAACATATATGCAAGCATATTTCCAAGATTTTTGAATAATGCATATGCATTTAAAATAAATGCATATTTTGATATAATTCGATATATTATTTATCTGCATAAAAAGGTACTCAAATCTATTATTTAACGTTTAAAAGTCTGTTACTTACAATTGCACTAATTGCTTTTTAATGACATTCTCGTTTCGTACCTGATACAAACTTGTTATTGGGGAAAACCCAAATGCATAGCGACTAATAATACGGTTGTTATCTGTAATATTTTTCATCATTTGTTGTTATTCTGTATTTTATTTATTATTTTATATTTTACCTGAATTTAATTCACTGCAAATGTTTGGCACATGGTTTAAACCGAGTAGCAGAAGCTCTTGTTGCGGTTGGAATACCCGGAGGTAAATAAATTGATTTCAAACGTAAAAAAAGTATTTATTAAAGCTCCCCTGAGAGTACAACATTATAGGGAAAGGCTACCAGATACCCATTTACCTCCTGAACCTTTAACGAGATGGGGAACTTGGTTAAACTGTGCCTTTTTTTATTTTTTACACTGAAGAATTGATTCTTCCGGCAGTACGGCTATTAACAAATGCAAAACTACTTTAAATAATCCTCATGTAAAAAATGAATTAACGTGTATAGAAAGTAATTTTGTTTTTCTTTCAAAATGTATCGAAAAACTAGAAAATAGAGGTCTGTCGCTAAGCGAAAGTATAAATGTTTTTATTTCTGCTAAAGAAAAAATTGACCCTTGTTCTTCTAAAGTAAGTAAAATTAAAATAAGTTCAGTTTTGCACTCGATAAAAATTCGGGTTTTAAGCAATTAATTAATATAAACAGCATTTTAGAAGGGCATACAACGACAGAAAATCCAAAATGCATATTAACGCATATATTAATGCATATTTTGCCGATTTTTAAAGCATATTTGCATGCATATATTTGCTATCTTTTTTGGTGCATATATTCCGAACTCTACTTGTTACTATTACTATTAACTATTGACAGAATTAAACATTGCTATTGAAAACGTATGTGTTATTATCAAAGTCGCGGGCTATTATCAAATTAGGTATATGCACACCTGTATTTTGCATCGCCTAGTAGTAAAAGAAAATATATTTGGTCGTGTGAGTGCTCGAATAGGACATTTAAAATAAAAGAAGAAATCCCCCACCACTTTCTTACCATATCTAAAAGGCATCACGAACAAAATAGGCAGAGTGTTGGAAAAGCATCCAATTAAACTCTTTTATATTCTAATCACAATGATACCATGTACCTGTGATAAAGTTTACATCATTACCACAAAAAGATCAATTAATACAAGAATATCTGAACGCAAAAGAAATTGTCGTTTGGGTGGAAAACCCGAGCTCAAAAATACATTTAAGAGACAACGTCCGCAAAAGGTCTACACATATTTATCTGCATTTCGTCCTGTAAAATTAGGGTAAAGAAAATGTTAAGTTAGAACTGTTCGCTACAGTCATATCTGTATTTAAATAAAGTTTCTCACGTGTATTCTACTAATGTGTGCATCGTATTGTTAGTAGGAATTCTTATTTTTTCCTTTAAGGTATATTTTTCTTACTGCCAGGCTATTAAAATGAGAACGTTCCTTAAACGTGATGATCGCATTTCACTTACTCCATAAATTACTTTTTTATCCGATTTTATATTTGAGAAATTTGTCACACACAGAAAATGGTAAGGTACGTTTCTTGCCACGTGCTAACTGAAAATAATCTTATTGTACTGAGATTTATACGTGTTTATAACTAGTTGTGATGGGCGAACTCGAGTAAAAAATAACATGTCATCTCTAAAATTTTAGTATATATCTTGCAAAAAATTTCTAACACCCTGAGCATAACTTCACTATGCTAATATTAATGTGACAATTCATTTAATTTTTGCCCAATACGAATTACCTTAAAGTAATAAGAAAAAATTGTTGCTACGGTTACTCCCTCGCCGGGAATCGAACTCCGACCACTAAGTTATGAGAGATGGCAGCAGCAACAATTTTACTCATTACTTTGAGGTAATTTGTAGTGGATAAAAATTAAATGAAGTTTCACTTTAATATTATGTGTAAACCACTATTCAAAGTTTCTTAAAGTATTTCATTTGGTAACATATCATCTTGTCTTCTATTTTTCATTTACAGTTGCTAACAATAAATCATCTTGTTCGATTATATACAAATTCAACGGGCAATCATAAAGCAGTACCGATACTCAAACGCATGTAATTGCCTCTTCTCGCCTCGCAACTCTCGACATTCTTTCTCGAAATCATTTGAACTGTTCTGTCTACCAACTTTCGAGATATACTCTTTTACGTTTTATTAGTTTAACTAGTTCTTCCCCCCTATCAGTCACTGTAAGCTCGAAGCTGTTAGCACTATTGCTTCGAGTGGTCGAAATTCACTTTCTTTGTGTTAAAAATTGTTTGAAAAATTAAATTTAAAGTAATTGTTTGTAAATAGGTATGTAACACATCGTACACTTCAGCATAAGAAATTGCTCATTTACGTAATACTACTTTGTCCTGTGCTGACAGCACTCATAATTATCTTTATGTATATTATTAATAATCAATTCTATTAATTTAAATTGATTTCATAAACAATTTGTTACTAATAAATGCAGCCAACAAAATAATTAAAATATTAATTAAAGAGTAATATAATACATTGGCAACATTTTCTTGGTTTACTATTAAATTGGGCATAGAAAACATAGGATTGCATCACATTATTAGTGATAACGCCAAACCGTCTCACCACTTTATCTACTAGCGACTACTTAAAAAGCAAATTATACATTACATACACTATTTATGGATTCTATGCACCAATATATCAAGCTAATTAAAATTGGCAGTGTATGGCCGTTAATTGATGGGTATTTACTCCTGGTTGTGGTATTTCAAATGTATAACAAGTGCCTCACGAAGATATCTATTTGCTACACTAAATTTACGGCGCCGTTTATGATAGGTATCTACATAAACCATATAAAAGATATTAATTTTTTGGTAGGTATGTAATTGAAATTACAAGGAATGGAAAGTTAAGCTCTTGTCAAACATTTAAAGAACCTACTTTCCATTAGGGATTTATATGCTGGGTTTCTATCTATACCTATGTATTTCTTTAATAGCTGTGTGTATAAATATCTTATTTACCAATAATAGTCTCCACCTGGTACATGTATTTTCACCATAAAACTGAATTCCTAGCAGAAATACTTTCTTATTATTTTATAATAGTTAGGTATTTACATTACAATAAAATCAAATAACTTATTAGTAAATAGGTACGAGAAATGTATACATATTTTTAAGTGACTGGTCGATTAGAGCCACTACATTTTCGTAGAACTAAAGAATACCAATACCAATACAACTTCCACGCAGTCGGACGTGAAACCAAGAAAGTTTTAAAATAAAGATTTATTAAATTAATTTAGTTAGTACATAAAATTTTGTGTGGCGATTTCCTTTAAGTTACTCTTAGATAAATAATAATACCTACTGACTACAATAAATATCACATGGTAGACGCATTAAAACGTCTTTTAGGCAGATTGTTGATTTTCAGGGACAGAGATTGATTTTCTTGACCTTATCGACGACCTGTTGATAATGTTTGATCGCACCTCTCCTCGCACTGATGCTCTTATCGAACCGATTCGTCTAAATTGACTTTTTGGCTGGCATTCGTCCTCGTTATCGCCACTTTTACCCCTGTAACGATAAAATATCCATGAAAATTACCATCACAGTTTATTTGCAATATCTCGTTCTATTCAATTAGCGTTTTGTTTGATTAATGGCATCCAATGCCAATATAGTAATAGGAATTCGACGATTTCGGATAATTTTAATAAGAAAATATATTTTAACAGGATAAATAAAGCACAACTGTTATATGACATAGTCACTCTATGTGCATTTCAATAAAAAAATACTAAGTTGTCTGCTACAGATATATTGCTTTTACACCATTAGTATAATATAAATTCGGAAGTAAAAAAATTATTAGTAAGTAGATATGTAAGACAAAAACTAAAAGTTAATTTACAAAAAGCGCTTCGTACATCTCCAGATAATTATGAGGCCTTTGATCTGAGAGCAGGTAGATGACCCAAGCAAGCTATAGCTTCAATTATGATATATTACCCTAATAAACTGTTATAAGGTAGCCGCACTAGGCAAACCTCCCTTTCCGTTTTTATTTTGACGTATTTTGTAAAAGAGATTACCTAGTTTCAAAACGATTTGTTTAAATCACTGATACTGCCTCTTAATGCGGCTTGCGGTAGGTATAAATTGGGAAAAGTCGTCACATAAAGAAAAAGTGTTAAACACAAGATGCTAGGGAAACTAATTCCACTTTAACTGGCTTGCTTGCGCACGCGTATTATGCATATCTATTGTGGTTATAGAAGCATAAAATAAAACGTTGATTACGCTGGAAGTATCAAAGTTTCAATAGCACAACGGCGATTCTATGACCATAATATATAATACACATGTGCAAGCTGAGCCAAAGTGGAATCGATGCCCCTAATTACTAATTAAACAATACAGCATCAGTCATTAGTGTAGGTTAGTATACCACTACAGAACAGTTGTGTTACAATAATACGTCATGATACATACAAAAATATTTTGTTAATTTATTTTTAATTAAAACAGTTGGTCTTTTGAAAACGGCTGAAATTCCCCTAAGCCTCACTCTTAAAGACAGCACCGGGCTCAGAAAAAATGAACAGTATGAGATAAATGAAGGAATACGTTTTTAGTTTTTATGAAGCTGTGAATGATATACCTAACGCTAATATTTTTTATAAGTAATCTTGAAAATTTTGGTAAAAGCATCAATGACAAAAAAGGTTTTTATCTCGGAATCATAAAAGTTTAAGAGTTTGAGTAATATTTACGGTGTACACCTTCTGCCTTTTCTAGTAATCCGCAGCAGCATGCAGACTAGAAATTTGTAAGGAAATTGAAAACAAAATATAAGCAGAAATACTTGTTTGGACTAAGAGTTTGTAATTAATCATAATCCTCAGTTGATTCTTATTGGAGGTATACTACTCATAAATTTAAAAATGTTTTCTCTACTTTATATTGTAGCGTAGATGCAATTCATTTCATTCTTGATAATACCGTGTATAATTAATAATAGTAAAGGTATCTTACCTCATGCAACATGGGAACTCAAAGATTTTTTGGTTCATTCCAAAAGTTTCACCATCTTGTAATGTTTGGGGTAATTCGTGACCTAAGGTTTCTGGTAAGAAGAGAGTAAGAATTCCACCAAGTATTCCCAAAATTCCCAGGATAACCAACGGAAACGATGTCCAGATGTTAGCCTAAAATTGTACAATATTAATCAGTATTAATAATGTAGTATGCAGACGTGCCTTAGAATAAGTTAGTTGTTAATGTTTAAATTTTAAGTTGTTATAGTCGTAAGAATTATTTACTAATTTCTAGGAAAATGTACATGTAGCAGCCAGGTCCTCGGACCCAACCCTGTCGTAAAGTTTATTACCGTTGCTTAAAGAAAAAGACCTCTGGGACGGTCAAGAAGTACCGATTACTGTACAATTTTAAAAAGGACGGAATCGGGAGTCTAAGAACAACCCTCGAAAAGGTTAGACGTCGTGAGGGCTTGGCTCATTCATGTAAAACTTCCATGTTCTGTTAACTTAATCTTATTCATCTTATAACTTGTTTCTTTTAATAAATCGTTATATTTACACGTCCCTGTTAACGTTACTGTTATATCCCTACATAATTTTGGGGGCTCGTCCGGGATACAGTGAAATCGTTAACTGTGACTTGCGAAATTAATAACAACGTCGATAACTGACAATTTTCGTATCTGTGCGTGGTGTTGAGAAAAATTAAAGACATTCAAACAACGAAAGTAGTGATCCGACGGATCTTCAGTTGTGTAAAAGTTGTTGTGAATTGAAAAAGGCTGTTTCAAAAACACCATGGTTGGCCAGCAAGATATTGAAAAGATGAAGGTGGAAGAATTACGTGAAAAGTTGGAAGAACTAGGTCTTTCTGTGGATGGGACAAAGGCAATATTGCGTCATCGGTTACGTGAGGCTTTACATGAGAACAATGATACATCCGAAAATGATTCAAGTGAAGATGATGAAGATACCGTCAACCAACAAAATAAAAGAAGGTCACGCGATAAAGTTCTATTGACTTTTCGCGATGTAGAAGAGTCGCTGGAAAAATTTAGCGGTGATAAAAAATTAAATGTTGAGAGATGGCTTGAAGATTTCGAAGAGATGGCAAACTTATGTGAGTGGAAAGACATGCAGAAAGTAGCATATGCAAAAAGATTGCTTACTGGTTCTGCAAAGTTATTTGTAAGGTACGAGAAGTGTGCAAAAAATTGGGCAATGTTGAAAAATGCATTGACAGCAGAGTTTAAAGAAGTAATCGACAGCTATGAAGTTCATCGTCAGTTAGTGGGCAGAAAAAAACAGCTGGACGAAACATTTCAGGAGTACACATACAAAATGCTTGATATCGCAAGCCAGGCGGACATAGATGTACGTACAGTTATTAAGTATATTATCGAGGGTATTCCTGATGATCCTGTAAATAAAAGTATTTTGTATGGTGCAAAAACAGTGCGCGAACTTAAAGAAAAATTCATGCAATATGAATGCATGAAAAGTGAAATGACAAAAGTAAAAAATAGTTATAAAGACGATAGTAAATTTAGACGAGGTAGTGATAAAAATATGAAGATAATTAGACATGATAAAAAAGTGAAAAGATGTCATATTTGTGGTGCGTTAGAACATTTAAGTGCTGATTGTCCCAATAAAGGAAAAGGTGTGAAATGTTTTAAGTGCAATGACTACGGTCATATAGCGTCGAAGTGTCAAGGAACAGCATCGAACAGCAAATCAAAGGAAACCAACAGCATTACACAAGCAGCTAAGAAGAAACTCGTCAAAGAAGTTGTAGTTAAGGACAATAAGCTTACAGCCCTAATAGACACTGGAAGCGATTTGACTCTTATGCGGACAGATGAGTATGTAAAAATAGGTTCACCCGCATTATCGCGAAATAGTATTAAGTTTGATGGTATAGGGTCAACAGGTAATGAAACTCTTGGCGAATTTGTTACTGACGTAAAAATCGATAATGTTAGTTACTGTATGAAATTTCATGTCGTTCCAGGTAAAATATTGAAATATGATATATTAATGGGGACTGATTTTCTAAATCAAGTTAATCTTACAGTCAAAGCAGGTAGAATAGAAATATCAAAGGTTGCCGATACAGGTATAAATAACGACGACATTCCCGAAATTTTGTGTATCGACACTATTGAAAATTCTAATGATGTCGATTTATCTTATATAACGAATACTGACCATCGTAATACCGTAATAGAAATGATCGAGAATTATAAGCCTGAAAAAATTAGTGAAGTTGGTATAAAAATGAAATTAATATTAAAAGAAGAAGTTCCGGTTTATTCCCGACCGCGTCGTTTGTCTCCTCACGAAAAATTTGAAGTTGATAATATAATAAAAACGTGGATTGATAAAGGTATAGCTCAACCATCTACATCAGAATACGCTAGTCCAATCGTATTAGTAAAAAAAAAGAATGGGTCTACGCGAGTATGTATCGATTATAGGGCTCTGAACAAAAAGATAGTAAAAGACCGGTACCCGTTACCGTTAGTAGAAGATCAATTAGATTCACTTCAAAATACAAAAGTTTTTAGTACAATAGATCTTGAGAATGGATTTTTTCATGTTTCTATAGACGTAGACAGTCGTAAATATACCTCTTTTATTACCCCTACAGGTCAATATGAATTTTTGAAAGTACCTTTTGGTCTATGTAATTCACCATCCGTTTTCCAAAGATATATAAATGCTGTTTTTAAAGACTTAATTCATAAAAAGATAGTTTTAACTTACATGGACGATGTTGTTATCCTTGCAATAAATTATAATGAAGCTATGGTAAATTTAAGGACAGTTATGGAAGTAGCTGCAGATCATGGGCTACTCATAAACTGGAAAAAGTGTAAATTTTTACAATCTCAGGTAGAATACTTAGGCCACATTGTTGAAAATGGCACCGTTAGACCCTCAGAACATAAAACAAACGCCGTAGCTAACTTTCCTAAGCCGGGTAGTATTAAAGAAATTCAAAGTTTTTTGGGCCTTACAGGTTATTTTCGAAAGTACATACCGCGATACTCTATGATAGCTCGCCCGTTAACGAATTTATTAAAAGCCAATGTTAAATTTAATTTTGGATTAGCTGAGGTAGAAGCATTTGAGACACTAAAAGCTGCATTATGTTCAAAGCCAGTTTTAAAGATTTATCGCGTAAATGCAGAAACTGAACTGCATACGGATGCATCGCGCTTAGGATATGGAGCAATCTTAATGCAAAGAGATACAGATGACATGAAGTTTCACCCAGTATATTTTGCGAGTGGTAAAACTACCTCCGCAGAAGAAAAATATACCAGCTATGAGCTCGAGGTGTTAGCAATAGTAAAGGCGTTAAAGAAATTTAGAGTATATTTATTAAGCATACCGTTTACAATAGTAACTGATTGCCAAGCGTTTCAAATGACTATGAATAAGAAAGATTTGTGTGTGAGAGTTGCAAGATGGGCCCTGTTGTTGGAAGAATTTCAATATAAAATCGAACACAGACCAGGCAAACGAATGTCACATGTCGATGCACTTAGTAGAAACCCATTGCCAAATGTTATGACTTTGAGTGAATGTGATGATGCGATTATTGTAAAGTTAAAGAGAGCACAGCATGAAGATAATGAATTAGCTAATATTTTTGTGTTAATAAGAAATTGTAAAACTAAGGAATATGAGATAAGAAATGATATTTTATATAAAATTGTAAACGATGAATTTTTAATAGTTGTACCAAATTGTATGCAGATGCAAATTATAAGACGTGCACACGAGAACGGTCATTTCGGAATTAATAAAACCGAGGCTCTCATAAAACGCGATTATTGGTTTAAAAATATGCGAGAGAAAGTTGAGCATGTCATAAAAAATTGTATAGATTGTATTTTAGTCGAAAAAAAACAAGGAAAGCAGGAAGGTCTATTGCATGCAATAAATAAAGGTAGCGTACCGTTAGACACGTATCACATTGACCACTTGGGCCCTATACCGTCAACAAAGAAATCATACCGTTATTTATTTGTTGTCACTGATGCATTTTCAAAGTTTGTATGGATATACCCAACACGTTCAACAGACACAGCTGCCGTAATTGATCGGCTAAAGAGACAGTCCGCAATATTCGGTAATCCCAGAAGAATTATCTCAGATCGAGGGACGGCATTTACCTCAGAAGCATTTAACGAATATTGCAAAATAGAAAAAATCGAGCACGTATGTATTACAACAGGTGTACCTCGAAGCAATGGACAGGTCGAACGAGTAAACAGGACGCTTATTCCATTATTAGCAAAGTTGTCAGCTCCGAAACCCGAAGAATGGTATAAACATGTAAATACCGCACAAAAGTACTTGAACGCTACAATTCATCGCAGCACCAAAAATACCCCTTTTAAACTTCTAATTGGTACTGACATGCGTTTGAAGAGTGATGAACGTATACGTGAGATCATTGAAGAAGAATGGACAAAAATGTTCGACGAAGAACGAGACGCTATACGTGTTGAGGCAAAAGACAAAATTGCCCAGATGCAGGAAGAAAATAAGAAATCTTTTAACAAAAAGCGTAAAAAGGCAAAACATTACCAAGTGGAGAACCTCGTCGCAATAAAACGGACACAATTTGGGCCAGGTTTGAAAATGTATCCCAAGTATTTAGGTCCATACCGTATAAATAAAGTCCTACGTAACGACCGCTACATTGTGAGCAAAGTAGGTAATCATGAAGGGCCGCGCGAGACATCAGTGTCAGCTGACCACCTGAAACCGTGGGCACAATATGATGAAAATCTTCCTAAATTCAATCGAGAAAGTAAAATACCTGAAACTGACGACGAAAATGAAACAGACGATGATGCTAACATCTGAGGCCAGATGTAATGCAGGATGGCCGAATGTAGTATGCAGACGTGCCTTAGAATAAGTTAGTTGTTAATGTTTAAATTTTAAGTTGTTATAGTCGTAAGAATTATTTACTAATTTCTAGGAAAATGTACATGTAGCAGCCAGGTCCTCGGACCCAACCCTGTCGTAAAGTTTATTACCGTTGCTTAAAGAAAAAGACCTCTGGGACGGTCAAGAAGTACCGATTACTGTACAATTTTAAAAAGGACGGAATCGGGAGTCTAAGAACAACCCTCGAAAAGGTTAGACGTCGTGAGGGCTTGGCTCATTCATGTAAAACTTCCATGTTCTGTTAACTTAATCTTATTCATCTTATAACTTGTTTCTTTTAATAAATCGTTATATTTACACGTCCCTGTTAACGTTACTGTTATATCCCTACAATAAATAGAACTTACTCTCATTAATAGTCATGTACAGGTAATAAATAAGTCATATAATAAGTAGCATGCTTGCAGGAGGTGATAGAGGTATATAAAACAAGACAATTAAGCAAATCTTTTATAATACTACAAATGGCGCAGTTAACGCCATCTGTAGCACGATGGTACATTTTAGGATTACGTATGCTCCAACAAGGTCCACTTGTGTGGATATCTACTTGCTGAAAACGAATCCCGGCGTAGCCAACCTCCACGTGATAGGCACGTTAGCTTAATCGAATAAAATAATTCGAATTCTGTATTTTGTCGAAACTGCCAGACGCAGATCGCGATTTCGATCTTTTTGGATCTGATCAGCTCGTCGCACGCAGCCCGACAGAACACAGGCCAAGTTTTACCATTATTATCGAATTATTTTATTTAAATCTTTGATAGTCAACCGTTTTCGAGAAAAACGTACATGAAAGTACAGGGCAAGGGTCAGTCCTGCACTGGTAGGATTTCGCGGACAAATACGACATTACAACGCCACATTCGATTGGCTGCTATCATTTGTGTTTTCGACTCATGAATTGTTTGTTACTTGTTAGATTAGATTATTCTTTTAACGTTTGTATCTTCGCCCATGCGTGGTCCTTAGGTATTTAAATCTGCTTTTGTATGGGGTTCCTTGAAGCAGCACTCGTATCAAACGCTAGTGCAGAACGCAAATGATTTTCACGATCGTGTATGATCGTCGGAAATGAACTACGTCTTAGAAATATTTTTGTAGTGTACGTACGCTTGTGTATGAGTTTACTGATGTAATTATTTTTTTCTAATAGGTAGAAAGGTCTATTAGTGAACCAGCCATAAAGAAAAGATAGCGCACATTGGCAATACCTCAATAGTAGTTTGAAAGTTTAATAAAATTCCAGTTATCTATCCAGAGGATATTAATGTATCTATTACTGTTTACGTTACATTATTTTTTTCATTCTTTTGTGTGCCTAATACCACGTCGAGGTGTACTTTACGTAATACCACTTATTCTCACCGATGAAAAACGTAATTATTTATCTATACATTATTATTGGTAGCAGTGTAGTAGTACAGAGCCGGACAAACTTTAACTTCGCAGGAGCCGCTACATGAGGTTAGTTTGAGTCACTCCATACCCTTCAATGAGTACGAGAGAGTAAGCAGTAATGAATAATTTTATTTGTTTTTTTCTTCTCCCATATCAAGCCCCTTCATCCTGCAGACGAGCGAAGCCACTATCGCAACTTAAATAACACCTACGAAAATTTTCGTTGCTACGTTCGCAAAACTATTGGGTTTGGCTATGGAAGAGAGGACTCACCTACGAAATGGAAGGGATAAGAAAAGGAAAGAATCATCTCACTCGCACTCGCAGGACCAATGAGGAGCTACTTGGTTAACCTTGAGGAGCACTCGGGATGCAAAAGAGCCGAGTTTGCCCGGCTCTGTAGTAGTAAACTATTGATATTTACTTTACACAACACAATCGTTTAGTTGTTACCGATACTTCTAGTTTTCTTACAATTTTTTAACCACGCTGTTTTATTCGCCATGTGGTTCCCAATTACATCTAGTTAACACCGTCCATAGCTTATTACTATATGGCTACCTACAAAAATCCAGCCTTTCCTTATTTTCTTTAGACTACGATATAATAACAAATTTTATAGTTAGTTGTATAGTATAAAGCTCACTCTTATTGTAATTAATGATAAAATATTTTTTAAAAAGGCATCCCATTGACTTCTAACGTAACCATCTGTATTAGTAACGATAATAAATAAATTGATAAGTCGACGATTAAAAATTAATACGTATACCTTCCTAAATGTATCTCTCTTAATATTTTATTTTAAAACATTTCCTGTAATTTTTAACATGGAAAATGTCTGAATTAACTAATGAAGTAAAGTCTTTTGTAGATTTAAGCACAAAATACTTAAACTGAAGAATATTCATTTCAATCGTATTTTAAAACATTTTTTTACGATTGAAACATTAAAACTGCTTTCACTCAAAACACTTAGATTTGTAGTGAGTTCATAATCAGGTGAGACTTGTAACACATTTCAATTTCCTTAAACGTACTACATATTTAACATGCAATAAGAATAGATTACTTACCAAATAGACCACAAAAGGTGCTAAAATACTGGCTACGTATCCCATTATATGTATAAATGCAACACCTTGTCCCCTGACTACTGTTGGCAATAACTCAGCGGCATATTGCAGTCCTATATTGTAAGTGATGTTGATGGCAAATCGTCCAATTATAGCTAATGTTGCTGTTGGTAAGCCTGTTAAATAACACTTATTAAAATTCAAGAATTTCATCATTGTATAAGTTTTTTAGTTCGAAGATTGGTAAGACATGCATTTTACCACTCTCTACACTCAACATTTCCTAAATTTAGAACAACCAACTCCTTACTCTTATTTCCGCTTTCAATACGTATCGAACTTTTATGTCTCATAAAGTGCTTTACTATTCTATCTCTCCTATTTCAAGTTAATTTCACTAGTACCTTTTGTTCTTGTTCTACTTTCTCTACTTCTACTTCTATTCTTTTCCACCCACGATATTTTTATCATCCGCCTATCACACGCTTTCTCACCACGCACTCGTATGACATGCACGAAAAATACACATTATATTTATTATCAGAAGGTATTATTATATATATTGGTCTTATGTGTTATTTCGGGCACAATCAGCTTGGGATTCGTTCTTCTCTTTTACGTTTCATGCACCGTTACTTTTTAATTTTTTTTGCCATGGACCCCTTGGAGTTCAGAGTTCATCTTTAGGGGTCAATATAGACCACCTTAGAAATATCTGGTACACATAACATCCCAATCTGTTACGACGCGTCGTAACTTGTCACTTCATTACATTCGGCCTAAACAATTAGTTAACCACTAATGTAAATCAAAACTTATTAAACAGGTAAAAAAATGAACTGCATAAAAAGAAAACTAAAAAATGGAAATTAGATCTTGATAGAATACAAAATTAAAAATGAAATACATGTAGCAGAAATCATGCTTCCGTCTGCAAGAAGAAGCCCAAAAACTCGAGGAAAATGTCCACGTCCTCATTAATGGTAACCATTTTATATGTATATGATTTTAAAAGTACTTACCTATATGCATTTGTACTTTATTTTAAAATTGATAAGCCAATAATATCACAAACAAAAATTTTTCGAATACCTATTTAGTATAAATTTTTAAAACCTTTTTTACAATTTTGCGTTTTTATTTTCATCTTTTTCATTATATTAAATTCCAAAATTATGAGTGTATATCCTTTCAATTAACTTTTCTTTGTCATTTTAACATTTTCTGAGTGTTATCTACCGATAATGTCATATTGCCTAAGAAAAATAAAATTCTTTTATCAGACAAGCCGGTCTCTTTAAAGAAAAATAAAAAGGTGTTTATGACGAAATTTTTAATTTCCTTTCTATAAAAATTTAATAAATTATCTAAGTATTTAATTATTCCAGTCAAAATTTAATTATCAAACAAACGGTTACTTATTCGTAAAGCAAATCAGAACATAATTATATTCCCATTACTATTTGTTCATAACATTAGATAAGAAGCTAGAACATGTTTTACTACTAATCACTTGTAAACATGTTACGAAATTTTACGTGTGAAGTAAAATTATTGTATTCTTGTTATAGTTCAATGAAGTGTAAATGAAAATGGATTATTAATTATCACTAACGTAATACATTCGCTTTTTGTAATTTAAACCATAATTGAATGTTATCCGGAAATAATTTAATTTACAAGTAAATACAAATAAATGTTATTTCTAGCAGAAATTTAAATTTACAATACGATTAACTTTTATTATTAAGCAATTTTACCCACAACAATTTATTAGTGGCAATACCCGGATGTATAGGTAAGTACAATTAGTAGTAATTCAAGTTCAAAGCTGAAAATTCACCCAAAAGCAATGGAATCAGATTACAAACCAATACAAGACAACAAAATAATTAATAAGTTCTAATAATAAAGGTATATACAATCCTTTGTTTCTTTAGGTACAGTTTAAATGTGCACTTCCGCAATGTTACTAGTTTGAAACAATGGTACGCTAGACTGATATTAACTGAGGTGCAAAAAATTTCCTTTGTGAGAAAATTAGTATACAGATTGGTTGTACTAATAGCTGAAAATGTTAGGCAAGGTTAAAAAAATGACAAAAATTAATAAAATCGACTCAGTAGCAAAAATACATAATTTTCTCACTAATCCTTTAAGATTCATATTGACCATTCTGTATTACTTATAAGGAAACTTTGTAATATGTTTATCTAGATCAACAATCATGAAATACGTAGTTTTGCTTTTGCTGAAAGGCATTTGGAAAGGGTGAAAATAACCCTAGAAGTTAATACTTCATAAGAGTGATTGTCAGGATTCACGTATTTCTAATTGATATTTTCATTACAACCAAATAGATTAAATTCTACTTGAAAAGCTGCTTGTAATCAAAATTTAAGAAACTAAATAAAATATATTTCGAAAAATTGAAAATGAAAAAATTCAATTGCAAAAAAGCTATTACCTATTCAAAGGACATTAAGTTACTTATTGAAATTTACATAACGTTAATTTATTCTTTATTTTGTGTTCTTTGTGGAGGTGTGTAGGTGTGTAAATAGTATTGCATAATATTAGCTATGACCAAACTAGTTATTTAATTAATTGCTATCGCAACGGGTGTCTAAAGATTATTATATGTAGTAGCTAAGCTGTTCATATTTACTTTATTAGTAGTTCCACAACCGTCACTATTATCGTAATTTCTCTGTACATTGTTATTCATGTCCAGGTTTTCGTTTTTTTTAATTTACTCACCATGCGATTCCCTATTGCTTGAAAACTGACAATCATTCTTATATATAAATATTAACTTTTTTATTATTTTCAATCCGTAAAAAGGTTTTTCCGCAAAAAGAAAAACGTATTTCATTTTTGATATAGATTAACACATTACATCCGCTACTAAATCGTTGGCGGTTATCTCGGAAAGTTTCTTTGTGAGAAACACGAAATTTTAATATGTTGTTGGCATTTTGGTCCTCAACATAGGTATGGTTAAAATTTCAGTACGAAATATTGCATAGTTTTAGCAGATCATCACTTTTTGCAGAAAAAGTCACTTACGTAATATGATACTAGAAAGGTTCTGAATTCTAAGATCGTCTTATTAAACCACTTTAAATCTAACAGCTATAACACCCAAATGGTGTTATCAGTCAAAGGAGTATAAATGGATGAAGAACTTTGTATCCTGCATTCTTATTGTATTCAATGGATATATAAAAGTCAAAATATTACGAGTAAATTTATATTAAGTTGATTAATTGCCATCACAGAGATTTTGCTCAAACTGTTCATGTTCCAAGAATAATCACCAATACGGGATTGTAAAAAAAATTGAAAAATAAACTGCTTTAGTTGATTTTCGTACTTTCATAGTATGAAATAGAAACAATTGAGTTAAAATTGCCAAATATATGGCTTACTATGCTTATTTTGCAATGGTAAATAGGAATGAAGAATTCGACTTAAGCGACATCTCAATTTTTTTTGTAAGGTGTTTTATTGACGTATAAGATCAGTACTAAACATCACTAAATTAACGGAACGTTTTCTAAGAGCACTTCAAATTGTAGATCTCGCCTCAAATTTAAATCCAGCAATAACCTTACTTTCTGGTAGGACAAATGGTATACTTCTGGTATTAAAATTAAAGAACCCTCATCTTTCACGTTGGTAAAAATCGAAATTCCTTTTAATTTTTAAAATGTACTAATCATGAATTAGTAAAACTCACCTATAGGAACTAGACATGCTAGAAGACTGAAAACACCACTAATAGCCATACTGCCAAATGCAAGCCACCTACGACCCCATACGTCCAAGACTGCCGTTAAAAATGTATCTGCAGGAAACTCTGTGGCTGATGCAATACAAAATGTTAGGAATGTGTTCAGACCTAAACTTCCAACGTTTCTGACGTGGCCATCAAACACCAAAGATATTGCCATCCAAATTACAATTAACAGAATCGTTATTCTTCGAAGTCTTGGGGTTTTGAAAAGATCCATTACAGAATATGTTTTTGAAGATTCTTCTTGCTTCTTTAATCGGAGGCAACTTTCCTACAATAAGAGAAGAAGTTAATGCAATATGAAGGTTATATACCTACACTCATTGGATCATTTGAAATTTACTTTTGTCGAAATTGAACTATCAATGTAAAAGGATGGGGTTTTTAGGTTGAACCCTTTCCTTTGTCAGTCTTTAGTATCATAATCCCGGACAGAATGCGCCAAGTACTTGCATTTTGTATTAATGTTAGTATTTACAAGACTATCCTTAGCAATGTTTGATGAAAATTTGTGCAGTCCTTTCCAAGATCTTTGCGAGAAGGAAACATAATGTTTTAAATGTGAAACAAAAAATACGTTTCACAAGATTGGCAGCATAAGCAATAATTAGTGATGTTTGTATTTCAATTGAGGTACAACTGCACACTAAATATAACGAACAACTCAACGCTTAATTCATTAATAATTACAATTTAGGAAACTGCTCGATTAAAAATGGCAAAGGGTAGCAAGGATATGTTGAAATAAGAAAATATACACAATTTTCCATAAGAATAATTAAGTTTTAAAGGATGACCATTTATGATTCCATGACCATCAGATAAGAACATTTTTTAAGTTGATTTCTTTATACGGGTGTTCTTTGAAACATTCTTCATTGTTCATTTTTATATCGCAATTTTTATTTAATTGAATAGTAAAACTCTCCCTCAAAAGGGTACCAGAACCTGCAAATCTTCAAAAAAATTACCATTTTTCAAATACAGAATACTATGATTATAACTTTGATGAAAGTAAACAAATAGAATGGTCTGAAACAAATCGTAGTTTGATTTATGGTCACTCTATAAATCATCATCATCATAAGGTCGTCAGTCCTAACACTAGTTGGACACACACCTAGAGGTGTGTACTCTTTCCTATCCTAATCTTTGCATTTCCCAAAACTAGAACGCTTCTAACCTTTTCCTTTCCGCAGCGCCCACCAATTTATTTAATTATTTACTCTCTAACTAACACTACAATTATTAATTAACCTTTCTTTCAATATTATATCACACACTATCCCGCTTTTTCGCTCTTCTTGTTTCATTTTGTATCGCCTCTAGCTAAAACTAGAACTGACTCCTTAGAGCTCGTGGCAAGTATTTATAGGGGCTGAATTTGTTCTAAAAATATCCAGAAACTGACATCTAGAAAATCTGGTGTTCTTTACTACTGTGTATATTTGGTTAAAAGCGTTTGAAATGTGGTGTTACAGACGAATGATGAGAATACCAGGGATACAGAAAGTTAGAAATGAAAAGGTATTAGAACGAATAGGAGAACAGAGGACTCTATGGAAGTCAACAAGAAATAGACGATATAGGTTGGTAGGACACCTTATCAAACATGAAGGTCTATTCAGAGACAAATTAGAGGCAGAAACGGAAGTTAAGAGGGGCAGAGCTAGACCTAGATAAGATTACTGTTCGCAAATAGTTAAGGACATGGGTTGTTCTAGTTTTAGAGAAACGCCAAGATTAGCTCAGGATAGGAAAGAGTTCACACTTCCAGGTGCGTGTCCAACCAGTCTTAGGACTGACGACCTTATGATGATGACACGTGACAGTTCCCAAATTTAAAAACTAAATATGCAGCAGTAATATGTTAACTATAAAATAAATTATAATATACGAAATAACTACTATTATATTCCAATTAAGTCTATTTTAATTATACCTATTTATCTTGTAGTTTTGTAAGACGTAAGTGAAAATTTCATAAAAATGTAAGTAACGCATTTACTGTTCTTGCCTTGTTTTTTATAACTTAAAGATGTAGGAAAATGCCTCAAAAATTACTTGCTAGTAGCATATAATATTTGTTGTCGAGCTCCAGACGGGCCTTGAGTCATTGATGAGCAATAAACGTCAGTAACACGAGAAGAGTTCTGGAACGTTCGATGGAGCCTGGTGGGGGAGGGAAAGAATTTGGGAATTAGTATAGAACGGTGTGTGTGGGGCACACACTCTTGATGTGCCGTTCAGATGGTTAAATTCTGAAAGTAGTTTTTTTTAACCGACCTAACTAGCGTTTGATTTCAACGACGAAAATCGAAATCAGTATTTATGGGTGACTTTAAATACCTAATCGTAATCATCCTAAATTTAACGGAAATAGATAAAAAGTTAACAAGCTCAATTAACGACTATTTTCTACTATAAAATTATGATAGCTGTCATATGTGTCTACTAAAGGCGTGTACACTTCTGGATCTTGCCCTTTTAATGTTGTGCATGTTATGTATTACGACTTATTATTAAAATAATGAAACTATTGTGCAAGTAAATTGCCTAAGATTGTTTTAATATATGTATTGAACGATTGTACACACGCGTCAGGTGTGCCTACTTATTTCCTGCGTATTCCTTGCCCCCTTCCCCAGCCGCCACTGACGACTCCCTTGTGTGTGCGTGCGCGTTTCTGTACAATTCGTTGTTTCTCAGTGTGACGTGTACTGCGGGTACCTTTCTAATAGTGTACTTGGCAGCTTGGAACGTTCACTGTGGCTCGTATACACACTTTCTATTTCTTTCAATGTTATTGTTATCTATTATTACTATTATCTATTAACAATGTCTGATTCTTTTGTATTTACATCCTATAATTATCATAATTAAAACAATTAGTAAAATATATTAATCTTATTAAGTAAACTACCTATATAATTTATTTTACTTAACTTTTATTTATTGGTTTTTATTATGTTAGCTTCATTTCGACCTGCCTATAAACCGTCAAGCCTACCGGGTTCTATGAGTCTGGCAAACAGACGGGTCAGTATACAAGTGCAGAGAATTAGTATGCTAAAGTTATCCAAAAATATCGCTAACAATTAGTTAGTTAATTCTACAATCAACTTTGATATTTCGCATCCGCCAGGCGTGCTGTGACGGCCAAATAATAGAATCTAAATTTGCATGCTGATAAGTTGTTGATTATTAATAGTAAATTTGCGCGTATAGTTCTTCCGACAATAGCCAGTTGCAAAATGCAATATTTTGCTTTTATCCAATGCTCTTTAGTCGGTAACTAATAAAATAATATTATTACGATGAGTCACAAACAGGTAAGGCTCTCCAACAGTTGGATTTAATCTCAAATCTTTTAACTTTTGATTCATAGTTTCATTCCACTGTCTTCCTCCTTGCCGTAGAGCGTAAACCATACATAGATTTATTCAGCCGGAAAACACTTCCTCTTTAGACTCATAAAGGTACCCGACGAAAGTGCCATATCTAATTAACATCGACCCTGACTCTGGCACCATTTTGTTGAGATGCGCGTGGCACACTTAGTCGTCTCTATATTCCAAATTCATTTATCGGAGAATCAAAATCAGCTCCAAGATATTCTCTGCTATTATCTGACTGTAAATACTTTTTAAATTTTTCTTCCGATTAAATTTTCTACTCTAATTTTATACTGAGAGAAGGGTACGAGAACACCATTTTTCTGACTTGAGAAATATACTTCACACCACTATGTAGCATCGTCAATAAATGTCAAATCACTTTTTGCAAAAATTATTAAAGTCATTGATTTAAAATTTTCAGCGTTTATTAACAACGTTATGATACACAATTTGCCATATTTTTTAAGCCAATAATTTAAAGGTGGTATTACTTATTAACAATTGATATAATAGGCTATTTTGGTGTTTTTTTCAAACTTACAGATAAACAAGTTGATCGATTTCAAAATTTCTTGTTGGATTTTATAGACTACATTTTTCATCTAAATAATTTTTTCACACAGTCTCCAATTTTTCAGTTGATTTCAAAAAACCGATTTTTTTAATTATTATAATTGTAAATATTTGTAGCTGATCCCAAAGACGACTATTCGATATTCTTGCCCTTCTGTATATGAACTAATTTTTTTTACTGAAATGGCTGTCTATAGATGTAGTGCGAGGTAAGATGGGTCGTTATGGACGTTTCGTGTTACGTAAGAACTCACGACATGACATACTCTAAAATTTGGCGTAAACAAGTGGACGCAATTAGGTACTGCGAAGGGATTTTTTAATATAAAGAATACATATAGATAACATAACATAAATTTTGCTTCTGTAAATTGAAATAAGAAATAATCCATTATAATAGACCTTGCATTATTTTAGTTGCGACTATAAATAATAAATATTATAATCACATATGAATATATTGCTTTCAACCTTATTCTTAATGACATTGCCCTATGCGTGTTTGTCAGTTATTATGTGGGTGGTTTAGATCGTTGGGAGTTTTTCCACAACACGAATGTCTACGGCGGGGATGTTCTTCAAGGTTTTTGTGGTGCCGTCAGATAAAACATACTTGATATGATTAAGAGCGAACAGAAATTAATTATTTTTGATCTTTAATGGTTCTTCAAAATTTTTTTTTAACATTAATTTTGTCAAAGAATTCTTTGGGTACAATTTTTTACATATTTTTCAAAATGTTGTTCATATGATATGTTCTTAAAACTACATACATTGTTGTCAATAATTAACAAACATAGAGGTTGCGAAAATGTATTAAATAATTGCCGTTTAAATGTTTCTTATTTACATGCTCATTGCAGTATTCTAACACATTTTCATATTTCAAATGAGTTAAGATTTTTTCGGCCATGCAGTTGAATATATATAAACACTTTTCACGAATGTACACTTGTCGTTTAACTCACAAACATCACTTTTGCATTCTTGAAAATTAGTAGATCATTTGTTCGTTGTCCTTCCTCGTTGGTCCATAGGAATTCATTATGGTATTGCAGTAGAAACCGTGCAGGAATAACCATAATAAAATTGTTTGTAGGCAGTGGATAGATTTGGGAAATGTTGTAAACTCTTGACTTCAGGAAAGGTATTTTGACAATGTATACAACCAGTTGAGAAGTTATAGACGTTTGTAACAAAAATAGGGGAAAAACGTCATACAAATGAGAAGAATTCAGGTTTTGTAATGTCTGCTTTGGAAATTAATTCGTGGTCCGGGAGATATTCGTTACTGAAAGTAATTGACCTTTTATTAGTAAAACCTTTTCTATCAAAACGTTTGGAATGTTAAGACAGAACTGTGCATTTATGTATGACTGTGTTCTTTCATNATTGGAATGAAAAAAACTCCAATGAATACTTACCGAAAACTGTGTATATATTTTATCGTCCACTTTTGTTCCATTAATTCTCTCAAACTTCTTTAAAATTTCGATAGCTTTGTCTACTTTTCCTTGTGATGCTAGCCATCTAGAAATAAAAAAAAAAAAACTAATAAAACAATGCACATAAATTCGGTGAAGCAATGGATTCTTTACCTTGCAGATTCTGGAACAACCCATGGAGTTAAAACGGCCAATGCCAACGGGACGGAAGTTACTACGGTAAACATTCTCCAATCTTCCAAAAACCAAGCAATCCATGGCAAGACGGCTGCGGCGAATGTGAAAAATATAGCTATGGACATATTTGCTACAAAAGTTCTCCATTTTGGGCCGACATATTCCAAAACTGAAATCCATTTTGTAGTTTAAGATAAAATTAATGCTACTTTTTCAAAACATAAAAAAATTTCTAATTTGGTACAACCTCTGTTAGATTTTCTATGACAAAGCTATTGAATAGCACTTTCACTCGAACATTTGGCCATTTAATATTAGAATAGTAAATAGTAACAATGAAANTCGACCCTGACTCTGGCACCATTTTGTTGAGATGCGCGTGGCACACTTAGTCGTCTCTATATTCCAAATTCATTTATCGGAGAATCAAAATCAGCTCCAAGATATTCTCTGCTATTATCTGACTGTAAATACTTTTTAAATTTTTCTTCCGATTAAATTTTCTACTCTAATTTTATACTGAGAGAAGGGTACGAGAACACCATTTTTCTGACTTGAGAAATATACTTCACACCACTATGTAGCATCGTCAATAAATGTCAAATCACTTTTTGCAAAAATTATTAAAGTCATTGATTTAAAATTTTCAGCGTTTATTAACAACGTTATGATACACAATTTGCCATATTTTTTAAGCCAATAATTTAAAGGTGGTATTACTTATTAACAATTGATATAATAGGCTATTTTGGTGTTTTTTTCAAACTTACAGATAAACAAGTTGATCGATTTCAAAATTTCTTGTTGGATTTTATAGACTACATTTTTCATCTAAATAATTTTTTCACACAGTCTCCAATTTTTCAGTTGATTTCAAAAAACCGATTTTTTTAATTATTATAATTGTAAATATTTGTAGCTGATCCCAAAGACGACTATTCGATATTCTTGCCCTTCTGTATATGAACTAATTTTTTTTACTGAAATGGCTGTCTATAGATGTAGTGCGAGGTAAGATGGGTCGTTATGGACGTTTCGTGTTACGTAAGAACTCACGACATGACATACTCTAAAATTTGGCGTAAACAAGTGGACGCAATTAGGTACTGCGAAGGGATTTTTTAATATAAAGAATACATATAGATAACATAACATAAATTTTGCTTCTGTAAATTGAAATAAGAAATAATCCATTATAATAGACCTTGCATTATTTTAGTTGCGACTATAAATAATAAATATTATAATCACATATGAATATATTGCTTTCAACCTTATTCTTAATGACATTGCCCTATGCGTGTTTGTCAGTTATTATGTGGGTGGTTTAGATCGTTGGGAGTTTTTCCACAACACGAATGTCTACGGCGGGGATGTTCTTCAAGGTTTTTGTGGTGCCGTCAGATAAAACATACTTGATATGATTAAGAGCGAACAGAAATTAATTATTTTTGATCTTTAATGGTTCTTCAAAATTTTTTTTTAACATTAATTTTGTCAAAGAATTCTTTGGGTACAATTTTTTACATATTTTTCAAAATGTTGTTCATATGATATGTTCTTAAAACTACATACATTGTTGTCAATAATTAACAAACATAGAGGTTGCGAAAATGTATTAAATAATTGCCGTTTAAATGTTTCTTATTTACATGCTCATTGCAGTATTCTAACACATTTTCATATTTCAAATGAGTTAAGATTTTTTCGGCCATGCAGTTGAATATATATAAACACTTTTCACGAATGTACACTTGTCGTTTAACTCACAAACATCACTTTTGCATTCTTGAAAATTAGTAGATCATTTGTTCGTTGTCCTTCCTCGTTGGTCCATAGGAATTCATTATGGTATTGCAGTAGAAACCGTGCAGGAGGAACCATAATAAAATTGTTTGTAGGCAGTGGATAGATTTGGGAAATGTTGTAAACTCTTGACTTCAGGAAAGGTATTTTGACAATGTATACAACCAGTTGAGAAGTTATAGACGTTTGTAACAAAAATAGGGGAAAAACGTCATACAAATGAGAAGAATTCAGGTTTTGTAATGTCTGCTTTGGAAATTAATTCGTGGTCCGGGAGATATTCGTTACTGAAAGTAATTGACCTTTTATTAGTAAAACCTTTTCTATCAAAACGTTTGGAATGTTAAGACAGAACTGTGCATTTATGTATGACTGTGTTCTTTCATATATTTTATTTAAATTTTCTGTTAATTCGTCGTGTAATTTTCGAATTGTTGTAAGTTTTCTTTATATTGGTTAGAGATTATATGTGCAAAACTAGTGAACTCATTTTGTCTTTTAGTAATGTGTTTTTCATTAGTTGCCATTTTAATTGATTTCTTGAATTTCTTGAAGGTCGTTGTCATCAGGGTTACCAATAATGTATTTTATCGCTGTTCCAAGAAAGTTCAGAAGTCCTTTCATTGTGCGTAATGTAGTAGTAGTAATTTTATAGTAAAGTCCTTCGAAATAGAATAAGCGTGGTTTGATTAAGTCAACCATTTGCTGACTTATCTCATTCTTGTACTCTAATAATACAATAGTTTGTGCAACGTTTAAATATGTTGAATACTGAGTGGAATTATTTCTATAAAAGTAGAAGGAATGATAATGATTTATGTGACTGCCTAATTGAAATGGTTCTTTGTGATATCCATTTTCGTTGTTAATTAGCTCAACTTGAAAGGCCAGGCTTAGGGTCCGTACAGTCATGCGAATGACAAAATTTTCTTATTGGTCTCATACCTTTTAATATTTTACTTATCCAACAACATAAGTGATGTGTCCATTTGTGAAATGTTTTTCATTTTCTTAAATTTATTTTTAAGTTTGTTTCGGTTTTTAGTTTTTATAAAGACTGTTTCTGAATATTCAATTTCGGGTATATCTCTGTTTTCATTCGTTTTTCGAACACGATTTTCTCGTATTTCCTTTTGTTTTGCGTAAAGTTCTTCACAAGATTTAATTATTTTATTTATTCTGTATTTATCATAGTCTCCATAAATTTTAAAATTTAAATGTCATCGTGTGGTCCATACAAAATTTCAAAAGGGGTAAATTACGTTGTGGACTGTATCGAATTATTATAAAGAAATCCAGCTGTTTGGATAATTTCTAGTAATGGTTCCGGTTGCTCTTTATTTTGTGAAGTTCTTATTTTGTCGAGAATGGTTGAGTGGAATCTTTCATCGGGTGAATTGCTATTTGAATTGCCCGGGGTAGTGTAATGTATTTCAATTTTATTAAATTCCATGTATTCTTGAGTAAGTGTCTTATCAAATTGGATGCCTTTGTCAACAGTGATTTAATTAGGTTTGTTATGATGACTAAAATAAAGTCTTAATTTTCTTAAAATGGTCAGTGAGTTTCTCTCTTCGATGTTATAAATTTGTCCGTACTTGCTAAAAAGATTCAAAATTGTAAGGAAATTTTGTTTGTTGTAGTTCATAATGTCGACGTGAATTATTTCAAATGGCGGTTTGACTAGTAATGGTCCTCTCATAATTGGTTTACGAGGGTGCCGTTCATCCTTTCCTAAAAGACATTCGTCGCATTTGTTTATAAAATTTGTAACAGCTTGAGCTATGTTGGGCCAATAATAAGTTTTGGAGATGTTTAACCGTTTCTTGAATTCCATTGCGATTATTATTGTGGTAGTTCTTTACTGTTCCAAGTTGAGTTTCTTTATTTTTCACATTAATCAGATTATTAGTACATTTGATAATTTTGAAGGGTGAAACTTGATATTCATTCTTCAAATAATCTAATAAGACACTTTCCATTTCTGGATTATCGAAATAGATTGCTACAGTCTTATTAGGTCGAAAATATTCTCTTGTTGGAGTCTTGGAGATTGCTTCGCATGTAATTTTTGTTTAGCGTGACCTTCAAAAGCGTTTTTCATTTAAAAGGTTGCTTTAGATGGATGGAGTACGTAGTTTTGGTTGTTAGAATAATTTGAAGTTTGTAGGAATTAATAGGCTTTTCGGTGATAGGGAATGCAAACGTATGACTTTTTTTATGCTGTGTGTTGCGTTAATGATTGCTCTTCTTCTTAACTTACTTAATCTTTCCAGTATTCTTCTATTATGTCATCAGAATCTTTAAGTATTTCATCCTCATCTGCATTCGGTATTATAGATAATGCTTCTAGATCTTCGACAGTTGTTTCTTGAGTGTTTATTTCATAAGTATCCCTGTCGAGTCTGCTCAAAACATCTGCTACATTGCTTTCTTGTAACGTACCTCAAAATCATACTCAACGAGTCAAATTTTCCATCGTGCAAACTTTGAATTTATTTCTTTTGCTATGGTTAGCCATTTTAAGGGTTGATGATCTGTTTCAATAATAAAACGTTTCCCAAATAAGTATGGCCTAAAGTATTTGCAAGAATCGACGACAACTAGAAGTTCTTTTTCTATAGTTGCGTAATTTCTTTCAGTGTGCGTGAGTAGAACGCTATAGGTTTTACATTTTGGGACAAAACGGATCCAATGGCGTAATTACTTGCGTCTGTCGTTAATGCAAATGTCATTGTAAAATCGGGGTATGCCAGTACCGGTTTGTTGGTTAGGAAATCTTTACATTTTCGAAAACATTCTAAATATCTGCTGCATCTATTTTCGCATTCTTTTTCAGACATTTTGTTATAGGTTGAATAATTTTGGCAAAATTTTTGATAAATCTCCGGTAATATCCCATAAGTCCTAAAAATGCTTTCAATTGCTTGATGTTTGTTTGTACCGAGCAATTTTTAATTACTTTAATTTTATCAAGATTAGGTAATTCCTTTTGGTGTACCTACATGACCCAAAATTCACATTTATCCAGCTGAAGTTTTAAATTGCACTTCTTAAACTCTTCAAATATTAGTTTTAGATGATATAAGTGGTCTTGTAAGGATCTCGGAAAGATAATAATCCATATATACAAAATAAAACATATTTAAATATTTTCGAAGCACATTTTCCATAACTCTTTCAAAAGTTGCGGGTGCATTTTTCAATCCAAAAGGCATTCGTACATATCCATGGAGTTCATTGTCCACTTTGAATGCCATCTTTTCGGAGTCCTTAGTCACTTCAATTTGGTGAAAACCTTGGGCAAGGTCCAGCGTAGAAAAATAAGTACACCTTCCTAAATTGTCAAGAATTTCCTCAATTTTCGTCATAGGATATTTATCTTCCACAGTTTTTTCGTTGAGACGTCGATAGTCAATAACGATTAGATATTTCTTTTCAACAATCCATACAGGGTAGCTGTAGAGCTAATAAATGGTCGTATGATTCCACCCCTTAACAGCTTTTGAATTTGTTCTTGTATCTGTTTCTTCAAATGCTTAGATGATGACGATAAGGCCGAACATAAACAGGTTCATCGTCCTTTGTTCTAATGTTATGTTTAACCTTATTCGTAAATGTTGTTTATCCTCATATTTATGAAATATTTCCGCATACTTATCTGTCAATTCCAATAATTTAGACCTTTCTTCTATGTTTAAATGATCCATTCTTAAAAGATTTTCGATGTTAATATATTATTTCTCGAATGTGTAATCAAGTTCTTCTATTTGATTCATAGCGGTAACTTCTACAGTTCAAATATGTTTGATTCTTCGGATTTGCTTGGAATGGTCGAAAATCCGTTTTGTACTTCTACAAGAGCGGGAGGAATATTTAATTCTGGGATAATAAATAATACTTGTTCATGGTTAATATCAACTGGTAAGTGCATTTTACCATTTTCCGGCTGAACTACGATTAGTTGCAAAAATCGTGTATTATTGTACAGATGAAATGGTTTTTCATCGTTTAGGGTTATTGTATTATTTTGGAAGTTAATACTTGCTCTTAATTGTTTCAGATCATTGATTCCTACAAGAGCGTCGAAGTTTTCATGCCACTTCATAATTCTAAGTTGAATTGGGTTGTATATATTTATACCTTCCAATAAAGAGTAATAATGATTATATTTTTCACCCCTAGAAACTGTTGCAGATTTTACTGTAAAAGGTGATTCAAAAAAGTTTTCGTCAGGAAAAAAAAAATGCAATTTCGGGGTTAATCATAGAATAATCTGCGCCAGTGTCAATTAAAACTTTTAAATCGTTGGGCAAAATAATAAATGGCAATTTTAGCATACTAGCGGCGTTATCTGAAGAGGCAATCTGTTGAAAATTTTCATTTTCGTCTTCATAATTTTCTTCAGTGTTGTAATTTTCCACATTTTCTTCAAACTCGAATTCCTGTTCTGTTTCGGGATAGGTTTGTTCTTCCATATTCGTTAATTCTTCAGAGATAAAATTTGGCGGACCAGTACTTTTAAAATGTTTAACAAATGGTTAACGTGGTCGAGTCATACCAGTTGTAAATGTGATGTGGCGGTATGACGTTCTTTTTGAAGACGTTTCTTGGAGGTTTCCCAAATACTTGTTGATTAGTAGGAAAATGTTGTTTTACTGGCCTACTTTGGATGTTTATACGAGGGTGGATTGATAAGTTTCCGGCCTAACCAAGAGATGACGCCACTAGGCCTACCTTGAGGTGACATTCTATAGTACCATCCTTGGATAGCTTGTAGCTATAGTTTCAGCCCGATCTCCTTGCTAG